AGCATGTCACTGTGTTAAACACCATATGACAGACTGGGTTAACTGTTTTGTGATACACATTAGGCCAATGAAAATCTTACTTTGCTACCTGATATTTGGCTTGACATCACCCATCCTGCTTTTGCAATGAGCAGAAAGTGTAAAGATGAAGTTCTACAGACTTCAGAACGTACAGTTTTTGTTGTTTGTTTTTCACAGGCTAGGGGAGGACACCAACTGCTCTGAACATCACCCATGAAGCAGATCTTAGTGGAGTTCTAAGCAGAGAGCAAATTAAAGGTTTTCGTCACCTTCCTTATTTGTGGGCTCAAACTCCCTCTCCTGGACTGTGCTGGCACTGCCATTTGATAACTGTGTGTGTGTGTCTATATATATTTTGGTTAAGTACTATAAAAACAATATAAATGAAAACCCATCACCACCACTAAAAGTAAGAAGATTAAAAGAGTTTGAAAACTGACATTCTGAACTTGCATTTTAATAGGACCATGCTCGTAGCAAGGAAGACTTTGTCCAGAACACAAAAGGCTTTCTTTGTAGGTGAGACCATTGAGATATTTTGATAGTGTTGGCACATTCTGGCCTATTGATTTCGTGTACTGAAGCACTGAAGGAAGAATAAAGACAGAACTTTAAAATGAAAACACTGCACCAAGCAATAAAGTGAAATTAATTTTTGGCTAGAATAAACTGTGATTGGCCAGGTTTTTGGATCGAATTACACTGAACATGACAAGATAGGTTTGAGAGGACCATGAAGATAAAAGCAGTTTTAGTTAACTAATTCCTAGTGAAGGACATTAGGAGAACATCAAAAGCCTCTACAAACTGAAGTCATCCTCCACGCAATAATCACTGCAATATAAAGCTACTTCTACACCATCAAACCATTCCCAGGTTTCTCTCATGAAGAACTTGCAAATGAATTCAGAACTCTGATAACACAGAAGAAATCTATCAACTTAGCCAGCTGTATATACAGGCATAGCTTAAACCATTGATTTAACTAAACATATTAGCCACATGGTTTAAAGTTAAAAATCATCAGTTGAATCTTGCAAATTCTATGTTTATTGGAGGACCTGATTATATATTTCAGATTTTTTTTTTTCCTTCTTTTAAAGTTTGAAGATCAGGTTGAAGCAGAACTGATGAAAAACTGGAAGCCTCAGAGATGATTATCTCTTAAGAATAGAATCTTTTTCCCCCCAGTTTAATAAGCAAATTAGTATGTGTGAGAAAAATCTCAAATAATAGATGCCCTAACTCTTTCTCCTGTTACTAGCTGGGAGCAAACAATTTTATCCTAAAGCTTTTATGGTGGCTTTTCTTTTTTTCCTGATCCCAATACACAATTTTTCTAAATAAATGGTCCAGCACCTCCAAAAATGCTGTAATTTTTGTTGCCTCATCAATTACAATAAAAAAAAAGGTGAAAAAGATAAGGAACTCTCTTCCTTTTGGTGTCTTTCTGAAAAAGACCGGGAAATACAGAAAACATGTCCTGCCTCAAATTCTAATGCAGTTACAAAATAAATTGAAACACTGAACCCACCAGCTGTGAAATTCCATTGTCTCTGATACATTAGATCACTCTCGCTACAGCTACTCCCTATGCCCTGGCCAACTTTTAGTGGCAGAACAGAATCTCACACAGCAGAGAATCCCGAAGGACAAAACGACAAACGCCTAGAAAAGACAGGCAAGAATGGTGACATCATGAAACGTTCAGTATTAAGAGCACGGTTTGCAGTGAGAGATATTTATAAGCCTAACGTATTTCCATTTGGGACTGTTCTCCATATTTCTGAAAGCATTCCACGCAGCATTTCAGACATCTGGATTTTTCACGAGCACTAGCAGGCTGGTAGAATAAGCAACTTTGGCACTTAGATCTCTAAAAAATAATGTAGTTATCAGAAGTTCCAGTTAGAAGGCAGGTATACACAGCTGGGAAGGGACAGGGATAAAAAACTAAATGTGTTTTTCAAGTTTCTGAAGACCACAAGAATAGAAGAGCCGTTGCTTTCCAAGGCTGGCAAATCACGGCATGAACCTGAGTACGCTGTTGTACTCCCGAGGGAAAACCAGGAACAGCGGCCTGAATTAGCTCTAAACCAGAACGAATACAGATGCAACACTCTGGAGCCAGAGACTCACACAAAGAACGAGCCAAGTAGTTTTAATTCCCTGAGAAGGTCAAGTTGTATAAAGTGCCCAGACTGCGTGGAGAAATCTGCGTTCTCTTTGGAAACAGACCGTGGAATGGCAGTGGCTGGGAAAAGAAAATCCTATCTCAAAAATAGAAACAAACATAAAAAGCCTATGGCCTCTTTTTGTAAGAGTACAGCCAGATCTGATCTTGGGTAACATCCAGAGCAGTAGATGCCTGTGTGCAAGCAGCATTACCAAGGACAGCTTAAATAAAATAATTACGAAAATGCTGTGCAGGGTGAATTGAATCCTTTTTATTCAGTTTGTTAACTAAAGCCTAAGGAACAAAATTCCCAAAATTGACATATTAACAAGTTGCAAATGGTTACTGCATATAAAATGTTTAATAGAATTTAAGAGATATACTTACTATTACATCGAATTTGGAATAAATATCTACAACTTTTCCTAAAAAGAAAACCAAAAGTTAACAAAGTCTTAAAATACAATATTAGTTTTCTTGCTTCCTGCTTTCATTTGTTGTAATTACACAGAAAGAAAAGACAGGTCAAGAAGGAAAGATGGAAAAAACCCCAACCAACCTACGAAACCATGAAGTTCTTCCAAGCCTGTCAACCTACATCTTGCATAAGTATTTCTTTATAGTCCCTTTCTCCTCCCCACCTTTTTTTTTAAAAAAAAAAATAATATTTTTTTTAATTCTTTCTCCTCTTCCCACCCCATCCCCTCACCACCAACCCAGGGTTCAGCACCCTTTATCTAACCACACTTCTCTATACAGAAGGCCCAACACACACCTGACTCATCCACAACAGGTAATGCTGATATCCTTCTCTCTACAAATATATTCAAGGCTTTAATGATAGGAGTGTCCGGATGTATGAAGGCAATGTTGTGGTAAGTTCCTATCCCAAGTTCATCCAGATTCTTCTTCATAAAGGCAGGCTTTGGCATCTCTGACATCTAGGAAAGTCAGAATGAATGTGTTTACAGTGCAGTTCTCCGTACCTACCGCGTTTCCACGTGACTGGTATGTACATTAGGAAACACGTATTCACTCACCCACCTACAGACTCCGAACGGTTGTTTCGGACCGTTACAGTGATCTCTACTAGATTAACGCAAAGCCAAAACAAGCTCAGATCCAGATGCACTAGTTCTGTTCAAAACCTCTGAATTAAGACTATGTAACTAAGGGTTTTGCTCATTTATTTATTTTTGTAGTAACCCGTCACTAAAAGCTTTTGATCCTAAGCTATGTCATTCCCACTGAAACTGGAGAGCGAAGACAGCAAAACATATACGCTGGATGCTTATTTTCAATCCTCTTGCTGTGTTTGGCCTCCGATTCCTTCCTGTGACTAATGTCAGCTACCCTGAGTAATGATATCTCATCTCTGGGAAACAATTAATTTCTCTATTCATGTAAACAAGCTTCTGAAGCTGAATAGATCTTCCAGAAAGAACAGCAAATTACTCAAATAGCCAAGACAAGCCCTTGGTGTTTAGGTTTCTTTAAATGACTAAACCAAAGTAAAGGTAATGTACCGGCCCTATATCAAGCTTTAATTTCCCTTATCAAAAAAGACACACAGACACAATATGGAAGTTTATCAAGAAGTTTCTGTACTAAGACTGAAATTATTTAACATTAAAAATGTCTATGGGAGTGGGGAGGAATCAGTTTAAGTATAACTTTAAATACTTACAAAAAGCTGGAGGAACTTGAGGATTCTTTTATGGGTAAGTATATAAAGTGCATTTCCACTGACAGGATCTATAACTGGCAATCTGTGGATTTTGTTTTTGATCAATGAATATACAGCATCAAAAAGGCTGAGGAGAAAAACATTATTTTTTAAAAAAGTGAATTCTAGCTGACAATCGGTACTATGAAGCGATATATACACATATTTACAAACTCCCATGTCCCACTAAAATACATATGATGAGTGACTATTTGCATTATCTTTAATGTTATAGAAAACAGAATTTAAGGGATTTCAAACTGATTTTTACAGCTCGTAAAACAGATCAACAGCAGTATGCTCATGAACATCTAAAACCAGTAAGAAAATGTGATGGAAAGTGACTTTCTGTGTTAGAAAGAAGAGAAGACATATTTCTTCACAGGTGTAATTTGTTTTCCCAGGAAGTGCTGTGCTCAGTATCCCTGCACTCAGAACGGATACTTTTGTTCAGGAGACAAACAGTGAATAACCGAGCGTTCTTGCACTTAATGCATCTCAATTCCAAACTTCTATATAATTTTTTAGGAAGAGCATTTTTATGGATTAGCGCATACATGCAAGTAAGCCAAAAAAAAAAAAAATCTAATCATTTCACTGAATTATCATTGGGGATTGGCAAAAAGCTGTTCTCAGGAGATCCAAAACATTCCTTCAGACATTGCAGACTACAATTCGGCAATACTCCGACCTGTGCAAGTCTGCCCTTCTGGCAAGTAAAACTTGTTTTTTCCCCTTGGTCCTAGTAAGACTATGGTAAAACAGCTGACCACCAATTGCAAATTAGTAAGTAAAAAAGACAGTAAAACTTTGATAAACACCTACTTGCTGGAGTAGGCTTCTTCCCATACACAATGAACTCTACGTTCTGAGTCCATTACAGAGATGAACTATCCCCATTTGTAATACGAGGAGTCAAGATTCCCACCATTACACTGTAGATTCCACTCCTGGAGTAAGCATTTCACCGCTCCTAAGTGCTGCAGTCTGATTGTCATGGAACCCAAGGCCTGGATCAGGTCTTAAGGCAACTTGCTGTATCCTTTTAGACACGTCCTACTGCACTTTCTCTATTGCAATACTTCTCTTGCTGCTCCTTTGACTGACAGCCGTTATCCTGTTCTGTTGTCTTACCATATTCGTTACAACCAGCTACCATTCAAACACATTCCTTATGGTTTAATTGAACAACGTGTTCATGGCTTAGCGGCAATTCCACTGAGGACAGAGCACACCATTACTTCAAGGTAATCACTAGAGCTCCCTTCACCAGTTTCCTTTGACAGGGCACAAGCAGCCCTATTCCACAAACTGAAAGCAAGAATCAGAACTTCACTCTGTAGTTCAGCCATTTAAGATTTTGGGCAATTAATTTTGACCTACGTTTAGCTCATTTAGCAGAACAGTTACACTGATAAAAGACAAAAAGTTTTAAGTAAAAATTCTCTGCTTTGGATAATTAAAAAAAAAATCCTCACAATAAAAAAAAGCTGCCACATCTTCTTGATTATATTAAAAGAGTCCATTATTGTACTCTAGTTTACAATATAAATTGTTTCTTATGATATAAAGAAGTCTTAGAATTCAGCGTTGAGACAGACTTAGTTTATTTCAAGTTAAGCAGAGTGAAAAGCAAAATCCTACCTTGCATCTGGGGAGATGTTCACTAGAGGTTTAAACGTCTCTTGTAAATAAAGTTCTGTGTGTAGAAAATTAACAGACCGTTACGACTTTATACGCAAACATTAGCTTTTTTATGAAAGCATTTTATGAATTCATTCGCACAAAATTCAGTGGAAGAACGACGCGGAATACACAGTTACTTTAGTTATTCTACCACCCCTGCACATTCCTCCGTGTTGACATGAAAAAGACACCAGCTTCGAGCGCAGGACTAAACCGTTTACCACCAGGGGTCACTGCAACAGCAGCAAATCATTCCGTGCCAGCTCCTTCTCCGAGAGGGTCTGCTGCACCGAGCACTGCTAGATACTATTCCATGATGCCACACAGTCTATTTTTCACATAAAGCTTTCTCCCTGCATTCAGCACTTCCGTTCATTCCCAGCATGCTCTGTGCATTTCCAGTTGCAGCACGCAATTCCTTCAGGTACAGCTTACTGCTCGTCCATCAGCACTCGGTACGCAGGGTCATCTCTTCGTTCCACCCCGGCTCAGACACATTTCCATCCCACACGTACTCATCAACTCCACAACCAGACATGCCGCCCTACTCCAGTTTCTTCCTTTCCTTCTTGAAGGGCGAGGAGGTACTAATCATGAATGACTGGCAAAGCAGCGCATGGCCCACAGCACTCTAGTCCCTCTACTGTTTCAAACAGAAACAGGAGCCAATGGACAAGCTTTTACTATTTCTGCTTTCATTCAAAAAATGTGTGGAGAGACACAAGCTAAGTCTATGATCAATTAAAAATTCACTATACTGAAAAAGATTAGAATATATTAAGTGATCAACCAAGTAGTCAATTTTCTTACCCCTCCAGGTTTCTATCTTGTGCTCCTCCAATTCATAAATCTGAACCTACAATCGGTAGATAGAAAGTTTAGCTTGAAGTATTCATTTTAATCCCAGCATCATTAACAATATTATAACTATCTGAATAATTTCCTTACATTTCACTGCAGGCAATCTAACAGAGTAAGAACTGTCCAGAATAACATTTCCTGGCAATTTTTTTTTTTTTTTTTTTTTAATAGAAGTGCATCATTCACTTAAGCCAAATGTTATCACTTCTCAGCTATTCCTCCTACTGTTGTCATTTTAAGCACAACCTATGCAATAGCATCTTGGACAATGTAAACAGTAGTGACAACAGTCAGACTTTAGGTAAAGTTACATAGAAAAATTGGTTGTATTGAGGTTGAAGGTCATTACAATATGGAAATTTTAAGGAAGTTACCAGTGTGCAATCGCTTTTCATTTACTTCTCCCCCTACCCCTTGTAAATGCCCAGGGGGGTGGGGAAAGGATTCTTTAACATGAAGAAATGACAATGCACCACACTATTGGCATCTGACAAGAATGTCACTATGAATTTTAAAAATTAACATGAGATTCCGGAAGCCTAATACATCAGATGTCTGCTTCATCCAACTGTTCTTGATTTTTCAGCTAGTAAAATATAGTACGTATGTTTTAATTGCTGGAGGGGGAATTGTGATTTGACAGCACCAAGAAAGGGATGTAAATGTTTGTATGAACATGCAAGCTAGAGAATTTCATCAACTGACTGCCAATGGGAATTTTAAATTGCAGTTAATTGAAGTCAACAGATCTCCAACGGATTGCGCAATTCAGCCATGTAACTAAAATATTTGCATATATTTAACTAGTTTAGCTTGTTTATTCTGCACCATCACTGCAAGAACAGACTAACCTTTTAATGTACCCGAGCCTCTGTAAGCTAGGATTCTGCTTAGCTCTGCATACTCCTTCTAGAATAGCTCTATCGTAATCAGGCGACAAAGATGGTTATATAAACGCGTGAGCCACGCATAGCTACGTACTTGATTTTTAAATGCAATGAACTTTTTCATGTAACTTAAAGATATCCCCACAAACGCTTTTTGGTTGATATTTATCTAGAGCTCTGATTACTACTGAAATCATGTGCTTTGAAACAACCTGAACACAAACAAATACAGTGATCAATAATCAAGTACTTTCCTTCATACTTTTTATATCACATCTAGTTTTCACTAAGTATGTTAAGTCAGGTCCTTCATCCCAAACGCACTATTGATTAGTTACAACACTAAGCAGAGCCTCGTATCCAAAACAAAGGCTATCATTTTGGTAAGCATCACACAAAACATAATTAATAGTATCACTCATTAAGGAAATTCCTCGTGTTTATACACGTGTAACTGAAGCAGACAGATGACATTACCTGCCCAAGCTCATAGGACCTTCATGGCTAAAGCTAGGAACTGATCCCAGGTATCCAGATACCATTTTATTACCTTGCTTACAGAACTATCTTTTCTTTAAAAAAAAACCCAAACCACTAACACACACCACCACACCCCACAGCGAGTACACCCATCTAAGCTTGCAAAGACTTAAATACTAATAACAATCATTATCAATCTTTGATATTTCAGTGTCTGTACAGTATGGCAAATGCTAAAAGTATGGCTGAACATCATACTTACCATTGGAGACTTATAGTATCTATGCAGTATGTTAATGAAATCTGTAATTGTTAACATTCCTGTAACAAGCAATATATAGAAAAAGTTCTTCAGATATATACTTAACACACAGAACTTCCAGCTATTTTCTCTATTTATATTCACAATATATAGTTTATTAAGCATTACATCCACATAACGTATTATTTATATAGGGACTAATCAACAGTGGAACTCCAAAATTATGTATATTCACTTTCACATTGATACAATACTTCAGAATAAAAACACACGTTTGAATTAATATTCAAAATGATAACCTATGTGCTTCTCCTCTTCCTTCAACCTGACTCAGAGAAAACCTTGAATCCAGACTGCATCCACCCCCAAAAGCACAAGAAAAAAAGAGGGAGTTTAGAGTATCTTTAAAGGTTGGAGACCAATCCTTGTCTTTCATTCTCTTTGAGTAAGACACATTCTCATTATGTACTGGCCAAGACAGGCAGACTTTCAGACTCAAATGAAGGACCAGTATAATGGATTTTCTTGAATATTACTTAAACAACTTCATTCAATCATCTCCATGGTAATTCTCAACATTTGTATTGAAACTTGACTTTTTTCCTTTTAGAAAAAAGGATAGTACAACCATAGTATATGCATTTTAACCACCAACACCAAACTATGTAATATAATACTGATGATTAGTTTAGTTACCTGAAAACATTAATCTTTTGAGCTTTCAAGTTCTAAATTTGAGAAGATGTAATTGCTCCACTGTTTACTACTCCTACATCTAAACTGAAGAAACTAAGAAACAGGGAAGGGAAAAATTAATTCAGAGGTCACCTTTAAATCCCTAGACCTTAGTTACAGACAGAAAATGAAATATAAAAAAAGATACACAGCATTCCTATGATGTATTGCATGAAACTTCTGCTCCTGCCCCCTTAGATTTAAAATACTTCCACAAATGCTCTATAAACTATCTACCATTCCTTTCCAAGAATCTCCAATCTACATTCCAGGCCCCAAGAAGTACATATAATAATATTTGTAACTGTTGAGCCTGTTTTCTAACTGCAACAGAGATCTAATTTTGGAAGATTATTGTTGTGGCAATTAATTACATGACTTAAAAAAGCAATACCTAGATCTAATGTTTTCCTCCCAACATGGGACATCTCTGTAGCATTAGTTCCGGTATTCAAAGATTTCTCAGTGCACCTCGCCGAGAACGTGCAGAGAAAGACGTGCTCATATCACATGTATGTTAGAATACTGTAACACTAAATTCTTCTTTCTATAGTTCCTGTTCTCAAATTCCCTTTTGTGACAGTTTATTTTTAAATACACAGCGAAGTGCACATATTAGAGACCAAATTTCAGAAGGTCAGGACCTAAAAGAATCATCATGATTTTCCAAGCACAGCAACACTATGAAAGCTGGCAACATTCCACTCCTCACAGGGAGGATGAAGAAACCCTCTTTGCCAGTATATCTCTAGGATGTTAAAACCATGGCTAACCCCAGACCACCTTCTGCAACTTCTGGAAATTCAAGCAATCCTGAATAATGTTAGAACTACTTACCTACAAAACTCTGTTTTTTACTCTCCCACAGTGGAGCTGCTCTCACACCATTTGCCACCAAGGCAAAAAAGGCTTTCTTTACCTGCAAAAAGAATGAACAACTGAACAAATCTTTGCTGTTAATTCAGCATACCAGACACCAACAGAAGGGTTTCCCCAGTTACTAGAAAAATACGCAGTATAAACAGGTAGCTGGTATTCAAAACAGAACAAAAGCCACACACCCCAAACAAAAACCTTAAGTCTTTCACTTCTAACATGGTTAAAAAGCTTAGAAAAAAGCTTTGCAAAACCAGATCTGCTTTTGCTTTATGTGAATATTCTATGTGAAAGCTATGATGAAGCAGCCGACACAGCTGACACAGAAAAAGTATGCTTGCTAACCTCAAATTTATTCCTCTTTGATATTATCCATAAAAGTTATACCCCCTCAAATCACGACATTGATTAAATCTGTAATGAACATAATTATCACAAGTGTCCAGTTTATGGATATAGGTTCACATTTGAAGATTGTGCTATGTTCTAGTTCATTCACTATAGCAACAGTTGTATAAAAAAACACCAAGAGGGTCTCGTTTCCTCTCCAGCTTTTAGGCTCATGATTTATACAAATTCAAAGGGACTGTTTGATTATTTTAAACATGACTGAAAGTTAAAAGGACTAGCTAGCTTGTTTTGCTGCTAAAGAAATGTAACCAAATCCTTTCATTTTTTAAAGAATTAACCTTCCCAGTTTCTGAATCAGAGCTTGTAAGGTTGTGTCGTTCTCAAAAGAAAAGGACTTCCCTGTGAACACTAGTTCTCGGAAGCATGAAGCAGTCAGGCTCTAGTACACCTCAAAATCCTGATCTCTTGGGGATACGCTTGAGCATGTTATCCTTCCCGTCCTGCCCACATCTCCACATAGTCTTCACATGGAAAACAATACAGAAGTGATGGTTCTTGTCCTGGCACAAAACCAGGACACAGCCAGTCTATATCCCTACATTCATGAAACTGGTCCTTGGTCCAAATAACACAGAAGTGGCAATTGCAATTGCCTGAAAATTGCCATCGCCTGACAATTGCCATCTGAACAGACCACGATTACACGGTGGTATCTTTAGTGTCTACTTTAAATTATGTGCCAAGGGGCTCCTCTCCACAACAGAGTCAGGAATGAAAGGGCTTCACAGTCAGTGAAATGAGCATCCAAAAAAGTAGGGGCAAACAATCAAACAAACAAGTCAGCCATTGTTAGCTACAACTTTCTTGGAAAAGTTCGCAGAGAGGTAGTGTCCTATGACATTTGATAGAACCTCCACTTGGACTCCACTTAGTGTTACAAGGCAGCAGTTTAAATTTCTAAGTTAGTACGACTTCTACTCTGCACCAGGACACATCACCTCTGTCTACAGTTCAGCGATTCGCAGTGTTTCCAACACCTGGTGTTATCCTAATGTCCGTGAACTCCAATCTTTAAGGTTAGACTTCTGAAGCAATCCACATTTCTTGTGACCTCTGCGCAGCCCAACTGCTCGCTCTCTGACCATGAGAAGCAAATCTATTCTCCTGACCTCAGCAGATGAGTTCTTGGAGCTGCCTCCTGACTCTACAGATGCTTCTGCCATATCATCTGTGAACAGAAGAAACGATCTGCGTAACAACGACCACTCCTAAACTGCACTAAAACTGAAGAAGCCGTACGGGGGGGGGAAAAAAACCCACCCAAAATCGCAAATAAGGCTGCAAGATACACACCAGACAGTATTTATCTAGAAAATGGTTAACAGAAATGTCCCAGAGGTATTCAGCCACTTCGCTCACACAGGGCAAAGTCACAAACACTACCAAATCTACCAGCTCATAAGGATGACTGAAACCACCAAGAAACCCTCCAGGCAGACTCAGGAAGTCTTCCCATATACCAGCATCACACTTAGCGTTAAGGCAGCGAAAGCCAACAGCAGTGAGCTATTTGGGGAGCGGATACGTGACAGAAGTGAGTTCTCACAGACTAACTCCACCTTGGGGCAAAGCTCTAACCGTTCTTCCTCAAAAAAGAGTGAAGTACACTCAAACTGCCTGAAACTGAGCGCCTTCAGCTTTGATATCTTTCCAAAAGAACAGCTATCACATGAGTTAACGGTCACTGTCAACTTCTGTCCCAAGTCTTCCACAAGAACCAGATCTTCAAGCAGTAAGGTAACAGCTGATCTATTAAAACCAGGGGAAAATAGCTTTCTTCCAGATAGTGACTGTGCAACAGAACTCCTCAAGCAAGTTTACAACTCTAATTGATAATCTACAGAAGAAGCATGCCCACAGCAGAAAAGATGCGGAGAGCCAATTATAACGCTTCAGGCAACTTTCAAATTCTTGCTACTACTTCTTTCTCAGACACAGTTGCATCAAAGAACACGACCTAGCACAATGTTCAGAAGGACAAGATGGTAAAATCGAGGTATTCTTTTAGATTCAGGAATGACACTTCAAGAGAGACAATTCCAAAGATATACTACGCAACAAGCTGAGCTTGTAGACAATCCAGAAGGAAAAGAAAGTTTCCTCAAAGGATCGGTTCTTGCCCTGATTCTTTTTGATTTATTTGCAAGCTATGTGTCTCTAAGAATCTCAATAATCTTCTTAGATGCCATCTTGTCTAACTTTAAAAGACAGATTTTGGAAAAACTGAGGGCTGCTGAACAGATAGAGCTACTAAGATAGCTCAGACTTGAATTCTTCATAAAAGACAAATGAGTTCAGCTTGGGTATTAGGATATTAAACATTTGACGTAATAAATCAAAGTTTAGCAAAGAAATACTTAAACTCATCCCTCTAGACTGTCATCCTAGACCACAGCTTAAGTGACGTTCCTATTGTTTTCTTCAGTTTCATAGCAGAAAGTGTTTTGCAGTTACCTTTCAAATAAAACAACAATGCCATCAGTTCTTAATACTTGTCTCTTATTTAAGTAAGGAAATTACAAAGCAAAAAAAGAACTTCATTCTTATGTGGTAAGACTGCTTGCAAGCACAAATGTACACTCATCCACTCACACCTTCCTTTAGTTTCTGTGGTTTACCCATTTCAGTTGCCCAAAGTACTGCTTGGTGGCCAGCCAAAGCACTGGGGTGTGGAGCTGGGCTTCTGCCCAGCACATTTCGATGTTTCAGTGATGTTCACGCAGAAAATACTCACAAGGACCTTCCTTTCATAGAATCATAGAATGATTCTAAATAGTTTGTAGCCTTTGAAGATTTCTACCATGCCCCATCTTTAGACCTCCAACAGCGTTGTTAATTCTCGACCCCACCAGCATTGTTCCTCTGATCTTGACTGTGGACTAGCCTGACCTTCACAAAACCATTGTTCTTCAGCCAGATCCCATAGATTGCTGCTGTACAACACCATGTACAAACACTCTTTAAACAAAGCACTTTTGTGGTTATTAACCATGTAGTGGTCCTGACAAACACAATGAATCATTAAGAATGGGATTTATCTACCCAGATTTAGAGGGTGTTATGAAATATATGGTGACCTTACATATTCACTGCACCTCTTCATAGCCAGCTGGGGGAAAACAGCTATTTCTGCAACATGACTCATCACCCTGAGATTAGATGGAGATTAAGTTGTATCCCACAGACGCCATTTCCTCTCTCACTGACTATAAGATGTCTAGACATTTACAATTAGATGAAGAATACCACTATGTGACTACTTGTCTTCTCCAGCATTCTGCCCCTTAAGGGTCATGTTATAACAAAAGAACACAGCAACTGAAATCCTAGATGTATCATAGACCATCTCAACAATAGGTGCTACTACATTACAGTTAGCAGAACAAGAACAAGTTTTTCTTACTACAGAAACTCATTACACCAATTGTGAATATGCTGAATAAAAGAACAAACTAATTTAGGTCAGACAGGACTCCCATAAAAGCAGCATCAGACCCAGCTGATCCTCGACACTTTTATCATCTCTGATTCCTGGGTGATGGATGCTTGAAGGTGAGCTAGAACATTCATCGTCATTTTCACTGACTAGTGAAAGCTGACTAGTTCCGAGTCTTATCTCACAATGATTTTTAAGGGCTACAAAGCTTAGAGGGAACATACACCTCCAAAAATTCACATGTGAACCACAGTATCAAACCCAAATCTTTCAGGCAATCACTGAGAAACAATAACCCTTCCTAGCATAACAAAATACAAACATTAATATCTAGTTGAAAGACACTTGCAAGAGGAAGGCATTTAGTCTTAGCAAATTGGGTGAGAACAGCTGTAATACCACCACAGAAGGTTAAACTCACATACCCATAGACTCACACGCTCTAAGTATGAAACAGCAGGGCATGGTGTGCCTTCCCAATGTCTCCCTTGCAAAAGGGAAGTTTTCCCTTTTCCAAGGATAAGATCATATATATCTTCACAATATGACAAAGTCGCTCTAGAATACAGTCTTTGTTCTCACTGTTAGAGTAAGAAGGCACAAGGAAAAAAGTTACCCCGAGACTTCCCTCTTAGATGCTAAACACTTGCATTTCAATAGTCCTTACCAAGTAAGAAGACCAGAAGCTGAATAACTGGTCTTTGTTGTAACAGGAAAACCATCAGGCCTCTGCTGTGACCTTTATACTGCATAAAAACTGGGCAACCTACAACTTACTCCCTTGGCCTAAACGTGTTTAAGAGCTGACTGCCTCTCAAATGCTTTTGATGTCAAAACATAAGGAATGGGACAACAGTTTCTAGCCCAACATAAACAGGACTATGTTTAAGTAGCACGGCAAGTTCTCTGGCTGCCCAAATCTTGGCAGATCTCCAAGCGAGGGGGGGGAGGGAAGAAGAGTCTCAACTACTTGGCATGAAGGAGAGGCAAGCCTGATGATCGAGCTGCAGTAAGACAGGTTTGTAACATGTCTCCCCTGCTGCTCCCTCACATCACTAGGATTTCAGGCAGTGCTGCTTCTGTACCAGAGGCTGTAAGGCATCTCATACAAGCAATTAATCACTGGCTTTGTGTACTTGCTTGACAAAGCAGCCAGAGAAGAAGCAAAACAAGGTAACTAACTACTTGAACCACAC